TCTCTCTCTCTCTCTCTCTCTCTCTCTCTCTCTCTCTCTCTCTCTCTCTCTCTTTCTTTTTTTTTTTTTAGCACACCCCAGGGCCTTCCATATGTTAGATAAGAGCCCTATCTCTGAGCTATCTCCAGCCCTCTTTTAAACTTTATTAAAATTATAAAACAGTATCACCAAGTTTACTAAGCAGGCTTTGAACTAACTCTATATCTCCACTTAGCCTTGAATGTTTCTGATATTTGTAAATTAAGTATCCTTGCTATGTGTTTATTATTTAATTTGCATCTTTGTGTGTGCATGCACCCATGCCTGTGTGCCTGTGTGCATGTGCTTATATGTGTGTGTTTGTGTGTGTATGTGTGAGGGAGGGGAGGGTATGCACGATGTGCTAATATGTGCACCCTTCACATGTAAAGGCCAGAAGAGGACATTGGTTGTCTTGCTGTGCTGCTCTGTCTTCTTCCCTTGAAACAGCATCTTTTGTTGAACCTAGAGCTAGGCTGAGATCCAGCAAGCCCCAGCCGTCTTCCTGTCTCCATCCCCCACAGCATTGGAGTTTCAGTGACATGCATCTATACCTGGAGATTATTTTGCACAGGTCCGTCCTTGCAGAGCAAGCACCCTTAATCACTCATCACTCTCCCAGCACCTAGCCTTAACTTTTGATTCTCTTGCCCCATTTCTCTACTGGCTGGGAATAAAAATCTGTGCTACTAGGCCTGGCTTTTAAAAGGTGTGTGTGTGTGTGTGTGTGTGTGTGTGTGTGTGTGTGTACCCTCGTGCCTACAGAGGCTAGAAAAAAGTATAAGAACTTCTGAAACTGGAGTTACAGGCAGTAATGAGCCATCTTATATGGGCATTGGGAACCAAACTTGAGTCCTACTCTTAACAATTGAACCACCTCTCCAGCCCCAAGAATTTTCAAGTTCTTAATTAAAATTCTAATAAAAAAAAGCTTTTCAAGGCTGAGCTAGCTAAAGTAACACATCATTTCATTTGCATGTATTTAAAAGTAAAATATCCTCAACAACAACAAACATTTGCCAACATGATGTAGAAGCGCAATGAGAACCAGAAGGGATGAGGCTGGCTCACCTGCTGGAGATACTTTGCTCTCTCTTCAGATTCCTGAATCTTTTGGGCTTTAGCAAAGATAATCGCATCCTCTAGAGAAAACAAAGTCAAATTTAATCTGAAATTTGTCATAATTCTTATAGTTTCGACATGAAATTGGATACAAGTGCATACTGTCTTGAAACTTTATAGTGATCGGTAAATAACTGAAGACTGCATTGATTATTCATGATGTCAGGAACCCTCCCATCCCTTTAGATGAGTAAAGCAAGAGTGGAGATAAGAAACAGCCTCTAAAGAGAAAGTCTCTGGAGTCAGGGATGCTGGAGAGAAAGTGCCTGTGGGGTCAGGGATGCTGGAGAGGAAGTGTCTGTGGGACCAGGGATGCTGGAGAGGAAGTGTCTTGGGGTCAGGGATGCTGGAGAGGAAGTGTCTTGGGGTCAGGGATGCTGGAGAGGAAGTGTCTTGGGGTCAGGGATGCTGGAGAGGAAGTGTCTGTGGGGTCAGGGATGCTGGAGAGGAAGTGTCTGTGGGGTCAGGGATGCTGGAGAGGAAGTGTCTGTGGGACCAGGGATGCTGGAGAGGAAGTGTCTTGGGCTCAGGGATGCTGGAGAGGAAGTGTCTTGGGGTCAGGGATGCTGGAGAGGAAGTGTCTTGGGGTCAGGGATGCTGGAGAGGAAGTGTCTGTGGGGTCAGGGATGCTGGAGAAGAAGTGTCTGTGGGACCAGGGATGCTGGAGAGGAAGTGTCTGTGGGCTCAGGGATGCTGGAGAGGAAGTGTCTTGGGGTCAGGGATGCTGGAGAGGAAGTGTCTTGGGCTCAGGGATGCTGGAGAGGAAGTGTCTTGGGGTCAGGGATGCTGGAGAGGAAGTGTCTTGGGGTCAGGGATGCTGGAGAGGAAGTGTCTGTGGGGTCAGGGATGCTGGGGAGGAAGTGTCTTGGGGTCAGGGATGCTGGAGAGGAAGTGTCTGTGGGGTCAAAAAGTTATCTGCTGTGTGAGTGTGTGGGTCCTGAGGCAAGATGTGGGGTATGCAGCTTAGTTATACCACAGTGTAAATGTTTACACTTCTAGGAATTTTAAGATCTGGGGAGTCTACCTATATAAAAGGGCATTTAAACCTGGTACTTACTGTTGTTATCAAAGGAAAAGGGCTGGAGAGAACTTGTCTCTAAGAAATACAAATGGAGAGAAAGTTATTGGAAGAGCTGATATGAACAGTATTTTAATTTTCTATGGCTATTAATATTGAATAAAAACATTTTATACATCCTTGGCTGAAGGCTTGCCAGTCAGGGAATGGGGTTCCTAAAAAATTAGACTCTGGACAACTTTTTCTTGGGCTTTCACATTTGAACTCAATGTTATGTAAATGCTTTCCTGATCTAAGCTCCATTCCTTAGATTAACCCATCCTCTTTGCCAAATAAAAGCCATCATTTATAGGACTCTTAGAATGTATTTTTTAAAAAAAGATTTTTCATTTTATTTATATGAGTACCCTGTAGCTGTCTTCAGACACACTAGAAGGGGCATCAGATCCCATTACAGATGGCTGTGAGCCATCATGTGGTTGCTGGGAATTGCTCAGGACCTCTGGAAGAGCAGTCAGTGCTCTTAACCGGTCTCTCCAGCTCTAGAATGAAATTTTATGTGTAACAATAAGATCCTTTACAGTGGAGAATTGCAGAATTTTCAGAACAGTTTATGTATTTGCATATACCTATTATTACCCCTTGTTTGTACTTCTCAATTGATTCTTTGACAATTAGGCCGGGCAGTTTCCCCTTCCGGGAGGCAGCCTAGCCTTGCTACTCACCACTCACAAGGACTTTAGAGTTCCGCGCCACCGGTAGCCTCTGACTGCTGCCTCGAGTCAGCACCAGCTGAGATTCGGTAGTGGGGTACATGGACGCCCGGAGCCAAAACTGCTTAGCCAAGTTGGCATCCTGCTCAGAGCAGCCGGTGAACACCAATAATCCAGGGGAGCAGATTTCCTGGGATTCCTTCCGTCCTCTAGGACAGCCTCTGGGCCTCGATGTTTCCATGGTGACTCAGGACGCTTCCCTTAGCTCTGGCGCCCCGCCCCCACCGGAGAACCGTCCGGTTGGTAACTGCCACCACCAGAATGCCTGTGCTTCTTCCGTAGGATCTGGGGTTCCTCGAGGGCTTGTGGCCTATCTGCAGCTGGCTTCTGTCGAGGTCACAGCTTTCAGGGCTAGTCAAGCCTTAAAACCGCAACTTGGTGATGTGTACAGTCTTGGAGTGTCTCTTAGATCCTCAATCAGCGTCCCCTCCTCTCTCAAATAGTCCAATAATGTGAACTTTAAAGAGCGCCTCCCTCTTTTGGACAAGATTGCCAAGGCTCCGCACTCTTAACTCGGGGGAACTTCTCAGGTCTGCACTGATATGTCTGCATAATGCGCTAGTATAGAACTGGGCCAGGGGTATCCGTGGATACAGCTTTTGTGATCTATAACCTCTCAAATCTTTTATTACAGATCTTAGGAAACAAGCTGGTTTTAAATTGTGTTCATTATTCCCACCAGAAGTTGCCTAGAACGCAACTGTTATCACCTTAAAAAATCTACCTCGTTAAGCGGGCTGAGTTCCCCCGCCCAGTGAAAAATTGTGAAAACATTTAACGTACCCTTACAGTGTGTGAAACGCTTCCTTGGAGATTTTGTCTGTAGCAACTGACCATTTAATTACTCTAGGGGTTGACAGGAGCTGAGATGTAGATCCTAAAGCCAATTTTTAGAAAGGAAATGGACACTGAGATTTTCGTAGTGCTTTATTTTATTAGAGTGTTATTAATATAGTGTCAGGCAAAGTCCAAAGATTTATAATCACAAGTCAATATAACGACCAAATTAGCTAAGGGATAATTTCTATTTTCCATTATATCTAAAAAATCACCAAAATGTAGCCCACACATATTGATACATTGTATACTTAGCAGCTAAGGGCTAGTGTTTTTTTTCCTAAACCATTAATAGGTAATAGAATATTTCCTATGGCTCTGTCCTCACGCGATGCACAGGAGGCTCAGTCGGAAGAATTTCAGTCTTTTTACCTGGCTGTGTGGTTAGTGATTGATACTATTAGCAATCAGCTAACTACACTGCCTAGTAACTAGACTCATAGAAAAAGGCATTGCAGTCTTTAGTTGGTGCTCTCAGACATTGGTTGTGACCAGCAAATCGTCAGGCAAGCTGTGGTTGACTCTAGTCGCTGCCTTGGTGATAGCTTTCTCAGAAGTGGAAATCAGGCAGTGAATCACAGCACGCAGCAGGAACTGTTCTAGGGGGCTCTTCCTGGCATCATTTTTTGTTTTTTTTTTTTTAAATGTTAAGGCCGGCGTATACCGATTCTCTTTACACATCACTGAACCGTGCCCCGGCTCGTACACACAGGTAGCCGAACGGTCCCTAAAGGAGGCCGTTCCGAGGGTTACTTGCACTTAGACCTCGTGCTGCCGGCCCCTCGCTGACGCATCCTGGCTCCGGCCTCCGCTTTCTGCGGAGTCAGTGGGGCTGCAGCCGCCGTCTTCTCCTCCCGCGGGCGGCGGGTGATGCTGTGCCTTGTTTTGATGGCAGTGGAGTTAGTGATTGTCAGCATCGCACTACAATCAGCTAATTACACTGCCTACAAACCGAGCACCGGGCGCCCGCCACTGCAGCTCCCGAGGGTCGGGCCCCTCGCCCCCTTTCGCCACGGTCGACAGGCGAGGGTGGCGGAGCGAGAGCTGCCTCAGGCTCCCGGGGACCCTCCACACCCGCAGGGCCGCGCGCGACCCCAGGTGACCCCCCAGGCGCCGGGGCCCCCTGTCCCCGCCGTCCCCGGAGACCCTCCCGCTCCGCCCGGACCCCAGGGTATCCGGCCGGAGTCCTGCTTCCCTCACGCCGGGTCTGACCCGCCTGCGACAACTTCTCCACGGTTTCCAGACCCAACTCTAGAGCCGGTTCTGTCCAGCCCGCGCGCCCCGCAGCTCCTACTGGCCGAGTGACCGTGGCTCTGCGACCAACCGCCCTTGGAACACCGAGGCCGAGGGGGCGGGGCGAGTGGGGGAGGGGCAGCAGAAGCTACCAGAAGGGGCAATGGGCGGGCTCCTGCAGAGCCTCCTGGGAAGGGGCCCGGGAGATGGAGAGACAGATTCTTGACAAGTTTATCTTCATAGTGTAGTTACTACTACATTGAAGAAAGCAGCGCAAAGACCTACATCCATCTCTCCTCCCCTATTGCCCAAGAAGCCCCAAGCCTCCTCACTGTTCATGCCCATTCTCAGAAACAGCTTCCCAGGCATCTCATCTGGAGTCTTCCTGCAGGAGCAGGCCTGGGCACTCTTACCTGCAGGATTGCCCTTGCCAATATCCGAGTTCTTTCTTAGGACTACCTCTTACAGGGCCATGCAGTGAGGTGAGGGCCGCTCTTCTGGTCAAACATTGAACCAACATCCTCCCTTATAAGATCAAAGTCACAATTTTGGTGACCTCACCGTGAGCCTTGAGGACATCTATTCCCGCGTAGGGTTCCTGTTTTATTTAAATATTTGTTACAAATTCAGCACCTAAAGGGCATTCGTTTTACTACCCATCAGACAGTCTAGATGGTAACAAAATGTGAACACATTATTTACTATTCCAGACGGTACGAAGTCGCTAAACTGATAGATTTACCTAATAGAAAGAAACGTAGAGGTGTGGGTGTGGGTGGGAGGAGGGTCAACAAGAGCTAACAACCATCATGGACGAGGTGAGGGTTCAGGTAGATCCTGGAAGCGAGGCTAGATTTGAACATTAAGAATAGGATCTGTGGAAGCCCGACAAGTTCTGTCTTGTGACAGTTACATTTCCCTGGCTCTTACTATTTCACATCTGATAACGGGGTGCCTGTTTGTGTATATTTGGAATAGGAGCTTCTGAGGGGGCAGTGACAGCATTTCTCCGCCGTCTTCACTAATATTTCTTTCCTTTAATTTAGTCTTTCCTCTCTTTTAAGTAATGAGCTCAGCGAGGATATACAATATTCTCTGATTGCAAACTTTGTGGAATTCAGTAGGAAGTAGCCGTCCCAGACTGTGATCTTAATGTATACTGTATAATACCCATTTGTATTGATCCAAAAGTCTTGCAGTCTACAAAGGGAAATTTCTTAGCTATACACTGATACCTATAAGTCCAGCAAATGGTCTCATAGATGCCACTATTACATGAATATATGCCAGTCATCGGGAACATTCAACACAAATTCCAAACGCAAGCCATTAAAACAAAAGAACTACCTAGGAATAAACTTGTGTATATTTTAACATTATCTTTGAAAGTAAAAGACAGAATGTTTTTTTCCTTCAAAATCATTGTTTTATGAAGACTTAAGTGAAAGGTATCAAAGTGAAGTAGAAAATGCCACATAATTGTAAAATTAACTTATGAAAGACATTTGTAAATAACTCTATCTTGTACTCAGTCTTCCTGTATTTAGGAAAGGCATAATGTTGTATGTTACAAAAAGTCATTTAAAATTTCAAATATAAACAAAACTAGTAGAAGTAGCCTCCATCCCATCAACACTACGAAGAGTTACAAGTTTTAGGAGGGCATCATTACAAAATCACTTATTTTGCATTTTGCTCAATTTTACGCTATGCATAAACACTTCCACCTAGCTCAGTTTTTCCCCTCTGATTATTAGTTGCATCTTAAATATCTTACCTGAGTTTTATTGCTGCCATCCAAAACTATAATTGCATAAGCTGTCTTGAAATTTAGACTGTAAATTTGTTTTCTTCAATGGTAAGCAAAATGATAAAAAAATGCATGTGCCCTAGTTCTGTTAGAAAGCAACAGTAGAAAAGAATGCCTGTTCTTAGGGTTGCTGTTGATTCCACCAGCAGTTACTAGAGAAACTCCAAGGATCTTATTGCATCTGCTGGTCATGCCTAGGCATGTCTAGAGACCAGGGAGACTCATGTTTTAATCTAAGTAAGAATGCCTGTGGTGTGTGGTTAAAATGCCCAAACAGAAGATTACATTTGGTTCGATAGATCCAGGAAGGCACCTTGAGGAGGAATTGTTTACTGCTTTAATTTCTGGGCTTTTGTTGATCTGGGAGATGTGGTAGGGCCTTTGAGGAGATGAGTTGATAGTATTGACTGGAAGGAAACCAAGAAGAGTATCAAAAACAAGAACTTCCTATGTGAATCTGACAAATTTTTCTTGGCTTGATTTGTGACTCCTGTATAAAAGGCGAGTGAGAGATGACCTCCTCCTGTCAGCACACAGAAACACATCATCTCCACATGTTCTTCCTGCTGTTAGACAGGGACTCAATTACCTCAGGCTGGCCTTGAGCTCTTGATCTGCTTGATACCATCTCCCAATTGCAGGCTATTTCTGCAGCATTTGAAGGTTCTTGTTAGGGAGGAAGGAGTGAAGGACACTAATTAGAAAGCAATGGTCTTTAGCAGCTTCTTTTAAAACATTTTAAAAATACATACTTTCCTAGGAAATAAAACCATTTTTTTTAATGCAGGCTATCAAATGTCAGATGACCATACTAATATTCATGATAATATGCTTGGGAACTAGTTTATAAGTTGAAGCAAGGCTGAGTTGAAGTCAATTTAGCCTTTGAATAATTATAAATCAATGAATCTGTTTAATCATAGGGGGTTTTTCATCTGAGCGAGAATGAACTGCCAGCAGCTCTATACGTCTGGTTCCATCTCAATGAACTCTCATTAGGAAGAGTTCTTAATTAGCTTCTTGTTTATATTTATCAATTAACCAATAGTGTTGCTTTCAGTATCAAATGTTAATTTATTTTTTAGGAACAATCTAACAGAAATAGCTTCTTAATTAAGGCTGATGGAGCTCTTACTTCATCAGAAACAATTCTTGTGTATTCCTGTCTCTAGGGAACAACAGTCTTCAGAGATATGTTTAATTGGAGGGGTAGACAGTTTGTTAGCATAGATAATTAAGAGAGTTAAACTATGTTAATCATATTAACATGCCATAATATTGATATATAAATTATTATGTTAATGCATAAAATGCTTAGATAATATATTTATATCACAAAATATATTGAACGTATAAGTACTTAGATTGCTAAGTGCTTGAGAAATCTTGAATTCTAGTGCTAACTCT